CGACTGCTCCGCAGACAAACCTGTGCTCTCTTGGACTTCTGCCTCCCTCTTGCACTTCTAAGAACTTGCAGGACTACCTTCCACCTCAAGGGGGAGCCCAGGGCAGCCTTAATTTTGAATGGGACCTTAATTCATCTCCGCTGGGGGACCTCACATGTCCACATCTTCTGAGTCCAGGACATGGGCATTTTGAGGCCCTTATTCTGCAGACTATACAGGAAAATGAACATCTAGAAAAACAAATGGAAGAAGGCTTCCCAGTGATTCCCTGTTGAGAGGGCTGAGAGACACAGCTCACTCTGTCTAGTTGTGGCAATGCCCCTAAACACAGTCTTCCTCTGCTCTGCTCTGGCCCTGGACTGGCTGACCCAGGGGGTCAATTCACCCCAGTTGGTTTGTTTCTTTTCTCTCACTGCCTGTAGAACTTGGTTCTTCTGTTGAGTTTCTGGAATCCTAACTATTATATGCCTATGTGTAGATTTTTTTGGATCAAGGCTATTTGGAGTCCTATATGCCTCACTTATCTGTATGTCAAGCTCTTTTCCCCTGCTTGGGAAGTTTTCTGCCATCACTTCTGTGAACAGTTTTTTTATGTCATCTGCACTCTCTCCTGTTTCTTCATTGACTCCAGTCAGTCTTATGTTATTCTTCTTTGCATCGTCTAGCAGCTGCTGGATTGATTTCTCATGTTCCCTTATAATTTTGAAGCAGTTTTTCTTTTCCTGGTCATTAATTGCAATCTTATATTCTATATCTGAAATTCTGTCCTCACATTGGCTCATTCTGCTGTGTAGACTTTCAATGGAGTTTTTCATGTCCTGGAAATCTATTTGCATCTGTTTTATAGATTCCATTTGTTTCCTATGTTGGGATTCCATCATGTTCCTCAGCTCCTCTCTAGATTTAATAATCATGTCTTGCACTAGGAGCACAATTTCTCCTGTTATCTGAGAAATTATTTCTGATTTCATTTTTTCCAGATCCCCTTTTGTTGCCAGTTCAGGGGGTCCAGGTGGTTGAGTATCAGAGTGTTCCATCTCATTTCCCTTTGGGGTTGCTGTAGGTGATCTGGAAGTCTGGTTTTGAGACTTATTTACATGTTTTCTCATTTCGACTGGGGGGGGGCTGTTGGTGCCGGCACGGATTACCTCCTCTGAGCTGGGAGAGGTGGGACGGGGGCCAGGAGCAGCGGTAGGGATGGTGGCCCAAAAGCCCTTTCCTGTGGGCTGGGAGCAGCGGGAGGGATGGTGGCCGGGAAGCCCCTTCCTCTGGACCAGGAGCAGTGGGATGGCAGCTCAGAAGCCCCTACCTCTGGGCCCGGAGTGGCGGGACTCAGTATCGTGGTCTGGTGGTCTGGTGTCCTCTGCATCTTTGTAGTGTGGAACCATGTGGCTGTACAGAGGAGGGGGGAGTGTCCAGTGGATTGTTCAATTCACCCCAGTTGGAGGAGCAGGGGTCGGGGTCCTGGGAGTCATGGAAAGTTCACCACCCTTTCAAGTAAGGACTGCCAGCAGGGAGATTGTTCTGTTGGCTTCCCTCACCAGAGGATCCCAAAGCATGTTCACACGCAGACATGTCATGCACACACACATAAATACCATGTGCACACAGAGACACACAAAATGCACATATACAGACACTCACACAAATGCATGTGACACACATGAACAAAGATGTCCATATGCATACACAGAGATACAGATAAATGACACATGTGCAACACAAACATGCACACAGACACAAACACATATGTGAGAAACTGCAGCCCTGTCTTTTCTATCAAAGGATATAAACAGGAGCGCCTCCATCTTAAACTTTATTTCACCCTAGGCTACCCTCCTCTACCTCACGCACCAGGGTTGCAATTGTTACAGTTGGATTCCAGGAACACCTTGTGCCAAGGACATTCAGTTCCCCGTGCCCCCAACCCCCTTTAGTAACCCTGCCCAGCAACCCTTCAGGCCCTCCCTTCAGGCCCTCCTCTCATGCCATCTAGATTAGCCAATTGGGATAGACTATGAACCTTCAGTGCAGCCAATGGGGAAGAAGGTCAGCTGCTTCTCATTCATTAGGATATAAAGAGAGCCTGTTGCTGCCTCTCTGTGTGCTTGCTACCTCACCTTAGGGTTGTAGCTCGCCCTTCTGCAGAAGTAAACTTGCCTTGTTGAGATTTGTTGGTGTATGAGTACTTTATTTCTGCATTGACAAATTGAGTCTAGAGCTTATTGCCAACAACATGTACATGCACAGCTAATGTACATACACATATGAACACATGCACACAGAGACACACACACACACATAGGCACAAATTCATCCATGCATGCACACACATACAGAGACAGACATGGATACATGTGCTCACATGCAGACACCCAAGATCAATATTAGCTAAGTGGCTGTGCTTGTAATGCTATAGGTCAATTGTAGTCTGATCCATGTTGTACCCACATTGTGAATTTGCTGTATAAATTACCCCTGATAAAAGGCATGGGTAGCCACCCAAGAGGGACCCCTCCTGCAAACCCAGGAGCTATTCTTTTCCTTATTTCTAACAAAGCTCTCCCCATTTCCTCCTTTGTTTTGTGCCTTCATTCCTTGATGTTGTGAAACCATGAACTCAGCATATCTAACATCTATCAGGTCAGGAGTTATTTTCCCCATAACAAAGGGAGAAAAAGTAAGAAGTGGGACCAGAGAGCAGTCAGGACTCCAGACAATGTCTTGTGTCCTCAGCCCTCCTGGGTCTGGAATGAGAGAAGAGGGAGCAGCCCTGGTAGGAAGAGGAGGTGGATTTAGGGACTTTCCGAAGGGCAAACTGATAGGCTAATGGGGAGCGGGAGAGAGGGTGTGGGGTACCAGTAAGGTCTCCAGGGCCCTTCTGAAGGCACAGGTGGGAAGGCAGGACACAGGAGCCAGGGAAAGACAGCAACGAACGTCCAGGGGCTCAGGGCTGGGGCACACAGAGGGGCATGGGGCTGTGTTAGGAGCGAGTCTGAAGCTCTGCAATGAATGGGAATGTGTGGTGACTTTGGTCTTGGGGGGAACTGGGGCCTTGTGTGGACTAGGAAGTCCAGGGAGTGTCAGGTGTGGGGCTGGTCCAGGCACCTGGTGAGGGAGGGAGGCAAGCACAAGGAGCCCTTGTCCTTGTCTTGGCTCCAGCTTCCAAGGTGGGCACTTCCCATGCCAATAACTTTCTCCTTGGAAAAGGCTGCCTCAGAGTGAATTAAAAGGCAGCCAGATGGCTAATTATACAGATGAGCACCATCCATTCATGGAGTCCAAACCAAACAGTGCAATCAGCCGTGCAGTACAGATTGGGGGAGTCTGTGCAGGGTCGGGGAGGCGGGGTCCTGCCTCCAGAGAATAGCAGGAGGCCAGGAGCACTCTGCAGATAATGGGGACCATGCTGCTGCTCCTGCTGACCACAGGGCTGAGCCTACTGTCTGTCCTCAGAGCCAAGAGGCCTCTGATGACTCCTGCTGATGCTAAGGAGGTGACAGTCCCGGGGAAGGGTGAGGCGGGGACCTGGGTGTCCACAATCAGGCTCATGGACTGCGCGAGGGTCTCAGGTCCATGTCAGTGGGTACCTTGTCTTAGTCCTTGGTGACTTCTGCCCAGTAGAGGAGGGGATGATAAGTGGCTCCGAAAAGAGTGTGGAATCTCAGGGAGGCCTCCCCAGAATGTCCCTGACCTGGGGCTTGCCAGCCCTGCTGCCCAGGTACCTGCTTCCCTCTCTGTCAGCTGGGGGCTGCCGAGAAGCTTCTTTCTGTTCACCAGACAGATTGTATTCAGGGTTTTCATGTCAGCGAGAAACCCTCATTCCTGACCATGTAAAAAAAATCATGGATTGATTGACCAGGAACTTTCGACTTTAAGACATTGTGGGGTGTTTTTTCACAAGATTTCAGATGTTGGAGATGATGAGACAGCAACTCAGGCCCTGTCACTGATGGATAAAGTGCCTGGTCGCAGTGTCCTGTATCTTTGAAGCCCTCTTCCCAGAGGCTGAAGTGACCCTTCCCAAACAGGTCCAGTGGCCAGTGCCAGTGCCCAGGATCCCTGGCTCACTCTAGCAACAAGTCCAGCTCCTAGGCCTATGTATCCCAAAGCTGTGACCCCAAGTCCTCGTTTTCCCTCTCATGGAGCTGCTCCTCTGCTGGCAATGCTCTTGGCCACCTTTTGGGACCACGCTCTCCTCTCTGCTATTTTTACACCAAATCCTTGGTCTGGTCCCTCCTTGTCCCCCTCAACAAGGAGTTGCACCCAGACACTTCAAGATTCACCTGACTCTGAGGCCCTGGGTGCAGGGGGCAAATGAAGTCAAAGTGCAGGCAACCTAGGCCAGGAAAAAGGTGGGGGCTGGAGCTGAGGCTGCTCTGCTGTGCTGTCATGTTCAAGGCTGCGATTGTCAGGTGCCTATGGGTATACCGTCGGTGCTAACTGCTTTCTGGTTTTGGGAGGACTGATGAGGTCAGTTCTTAGAGGAGCCAGGTTCCAGCAGAGAACCTGGGATCCTGGTCTCAGCCAAGTGGGACTAGCAGTGGCGATTGTGATCATGGCATGAGCCATTGCTCAGCTGGTGCACAGTTTGCCACCCACACATCCTTGGTTAATCTTCTTGTCCCCTCTAGTTCCTTCCTTGTCTTTCTGTCTCATCCTCCTTGATATAGAGGTTCAAGCTGGCCTTTGATGACTTTTGTCAGTTCTGTTTTGGAGCTGTGTGGAGGGCTCCTGGTGAGAGACCCTCCCAGCAGGGGTGAAGCCCAGGGGGGCTCCTGCCCTGGCCTGCGTGGTTTAGCTCGCTGTAGATGGAGAGGTGCTGTGCTGTGCCTCAGGCCCTTTCCTCTCTTCGAGGGTCCCAGGCTCCCCAACCTGCACTGAGGTGCTCAGGCAAACTCTTATCCCTTCTCTTCTGCCCCTTTGGCTCCAGCCTGCATCTGCTCTTCTTGAATCCCCCCTACTTCTTACACCTTGCTCAAGGATGACTTCCTCTCCAGCTTTTAGGAATCTGGTACATAATACGCTGGACAGGAGACGTACCTATTCCTGCAAAAGTGGAGACTCAACCACTGCCTCCCTTCACGTTCATCAGAAACAAAGGAACACAATTTGAGTTAAGGATGAACTTCAGGTGAGTACTTTGCATGCAGACTCCTGACTCCACTCCTGGTTCCTGGTCCTCCAGCCCGGTCCCTCGTCTCTCACACTGTCCCTGTAACAGCTAACTGAACATGTCACTCTAATTGAAAATGGCACGCTTTCCTGTCATCTCCACAGTGTGCCAGGTGACCTCCATGACAAGTGGGGTGGTGTTCACACTGAAACTGAACTTAGCATGGGAGGGCAGGGCACCCACTAGCTGCATTCTGTGCAGCTCACTGTGACCCAAACTTTGTACGGCAGCACTGCTTGGTCTTGAAGAAGCTCAAGTGCACGAGACAGCATCCAGATCCTTCAGGGTTTTGTTCTAGGGTTCTGTTCAGTAAGGAACACAGGATGGAGCAAGGGAAGACCTAGGAGACCTTTTGGAGAAACAGCTGGGGATCGAGGGCAGCACCTGGCTTCCTCGGTGGGAAATGACCTGGGATGGGCAGGAGCCAGGCTGCCTTGAGCTGACAGTGTGGGATTGTCATTCTCTGTGCCTACCCGACGTCTGCCCTGCTGGTTCCACTGGAGGACACAGGGAGGGGATCTAGGGTCCACTGCAAGCCATGGTCCTGGGGCTGTGGCCTGCTGTTATAAAGAAATCCTGACCAGGAAGTCCTGGGCATCATCAACAGGACCATGATAGAAGCCCTTGGATGGCTTCAGAGGTCCCAGTCTGGGCTGCGTGAGGTCTTTCTCGGGCCGATGTTCCTGCTGGGTGCCTTATGTGCCTGTAAAGGGGGCCCCTGATGCCATTTCAGGCATCCCTGGGCACCTGAAAGTTGGTGTTCTGCGGATGCTGGGTGCAGAGCTGGCTTTGGGGTATCATGCTTCAGGAGGATGTAGGAGTCAGAGCTCGCTCTGGGGGATCTATGGGAGGGAGCAGGGGAGAATCAGGCACATGTTTAGGTGGAGAATCATGTTTGAATCTTATGTTTTAGGTTTAGAAGTGTGTGCTTTCCTTTCGACATGGAGCTAGATGAATTCATTATCCCTGGTGCCTTCTACTCCAGTAAGTAGCTAGATACGAATTCTTTCAATAGAGCCCACAGAAAGAGATTTGATGGTTATGAGCTTCCTTTTCCCTGCAGCAATGGGGTATTTCATCTCCATCCACTTCCTGCCGGGGAACGAATATGCCATCGCCTTCTACAAGGGCATGACGGCCTATGTGTTCTACGAGATGATGGAGCTCATAGGTGCGTTCCAGCCCTTTCTCTGTTTTTAGAAGCTGGTCATGGACTCCTGGGACACCAGGCACAGACAGGCTGCCCTTCCTTCCTGCCCAAAACCTTGCAGTTCCCACCTGTGGAGCCATCCCTGGGATTCCTGGATCTCAGTAAAAGAGAAATTTGTAACCCCTTTGCCTCTCTCATCCTCAGCCCTCAGATACCATCCCTGGTACCCAAGGCCCATGTCCTCTCATGACCCACCTGGCCCTGGCCCCTATTTCTGTCCACAGTCAGCCATTGGTGTGAGCATGCTCTGAGCAGGGGACATAGGTGGAGCCCTTTTGCCCCTGGGACATCGGGCAACATCTAGAGACACATGTTACTGCTGTGATGGCAAAGGTGGGTTCCTGGCACCCATGGGGCAGAGTGCAGAGCACCAGGACCCTGAACCCACAAAGTGCCCGACCCCAAAGGTCAGCAGTGCCCATGTGGAGCCCCTGACCTTAACCTGTCACCACCACGAACCTGTCAGCCTCACCTGACCTGAGACTTTCAGATGTCACCATCATTTCTTGTCTGCCAGAGTTCTCCTGCTTTCTGCTCCAAGCTTCTTCCTGGTGTGGAGCCTCTCTACATCATCTTTCCCGACACTGACCACCCTCCTCCCAGCCTCTGTGTGCTGCCACCATGTCTGGGCATCCCTGTCCTCAGCCCTCTGGGAGGCGGTGGTCCCACAGCTCCCAGTGGTCACCTGTGTGGGGCTCAGGGTGGAGTAGGGAACCCCCACTACCTGCTCACCGGCACCTTCAGGTCATGACCGTGGACCTCAGGGGTCCGGTCCTTGGTGCTACCCAGACTCTCACCGATGCCCTTGAGTCACTTTCTGACCTTTTTTTTCTAGCCCAAATTTCTCCGGTCCATCCTATGTTTCAGGTCACCCCTGTTTCTAAGGAGGACAAAAATCCATTCCAAACAAGGTTCACCTGTGGTGTGGTTTACACTATATACACTGCCTTGGGCAGAGTTTGAGCTGAGGATGAGAGAGGCCAAGTACTTAAAAATCTGTTTCCTGCTGAGAATCAGAAATCCCAGGAATGTCTCTCTTGAGAGGGAACTGCGGGAAGCTGGCCGGGAAGGCAGTGTGACTCACTGTTGTGCAGTGTGTGAGGACCAGTTCTGGGGTGATGTGCATGTTGCCATTCAGGAGGGGTTCAGGGTGTATCCTTTGAGACAAGGTCCCCACAGGTGCTAAAGAGACTCCTCTTCTTCCCTTTTATCAGGGACACCATCCCAGGTTGGATGAGTATCTTTGTGGAGCAGGGGACAATCTCTGATGGGCCAGGCTGAGACACAAGGTCCTCCCCAGGAGGGGTTGGAGGGCTGTTTCTGGTGGAGGTTTTTCACGGATATGTGAATCCTTCTCAGTTTGCTTTTCCAGGTGTTACACTCATGGCTGTCCTTTGGGGATGGCAGAGGGAGGAGTACAGGTCAGGGTGTCCCTAAGTCCAGGATTTGCCTGTGTAGAAAACTGTACATCTGTCCTCCACTCTCCAGGATCAGAGTGGGTGGGAACTACTTCCTGTGGAGCCTTCAAAGAAGACAGCCACCTGGGGGGCTGTTGCCTTCATGAGAATTCACTCCAGGCCCATGACTCATGCCCCGAACAAAAGACAAACACAATTCCTGCTTGAAGGCTCCCAGCTGTCTGGCTCCTTCTCAGGTTTGGGTTGGGAAGGCTCACATCTTAGATGTTCCTGGGACAGCAGGCTTGAATCCTCTCAGTTCCCTGGAGGCCCAGGTGGAAATGGCAGTGTCTGGCCAAGTGGGAGGACAACCCTCTGGAACCCTCCAACCCTAAGTGGCTTGGGGACTCTGCCTCAAAACCATCACTGAAAACCAACTGGCCTCCAGGCCGCACCTTGAATGAAAACCCAGATGCACTGAGGACCTTTGAGGAGTATGTGGAGTGGAAAGGGAGGAACAAAAGCGAGATCATCAACCCTCCTGATACTGGTAAGGAGAAGGGATTTTCCTTTATTTCTCCTTCCCTTTTACTTATGACTTCCACTTGCTGGGGGATGTACTTCTGGATATCATTTCTGTTGTATTATGGTGACATGAACACCCCTCCTCATACACAATCTTTTTTGGGGGTTACAGAGTCCTGTGAATACCACAGAGAGGTGTAAGGAGAGAAAGCTGCAGAGACTTCCCAGGAAGGAGGATTTGTGGACCTTGCTGCTCTCCTCCACCTGAAGCAAAACTCTCCCTGCAAGAGCCCAGAACCCACACCTTCTCAAGCCTCTGCCATCAATAAAGCTGAGTGATGTCCCTTGGGCATGTGCATGACGTGGGATTGAATATGCCTGGGCTTTGTCTTACCCAGGCATGAAAAGTAGCTCATCTGTGACCATGGTGATCATGAAAGAGGGACTCTGTATCACACTCATAGCTCCCTGCACACACACAGGTGGCTTCCATGGGGCAAAGGGAGAGGGCATGGGGCTTAATCTGACTGGTGTTTGTGAGGGGAGAAAAGGAGAGAGAGGGTCACAGCATGGCAGCCTTATTCTGAAACATGGGCAGAAGCTTCGTTGTCCCCACAATTCTTGAGTTTTGCATGGCATTAAAACCAGAACCATGTAAATGATTCCAAACGCTGTCTCTAGCTTGAGCATTAGCCAGGCCTCATTGGATCATGGGTGTAGCATTTCTGAGTGCCTAGATTGCTGAGCACTATGAAAGGAATCCCAGAAAACCAATTCTCTATGTGGCTTATTTGGAGCAGGGTGCCCTAGGACTTGTCAAAGCAAAGTCTTTCACTTTTGCACCTTTTAGCCTGGAAAGGGTTGGGTCTTGCTGATTCCTGGGATGCCCTCAAGGCATCTTTACTATTGTTCTAATGCAAAATTCTTGGCTTCTTTTTTAATGCTAATCTTTTCAACAACCTTATTCTCCTCTGCTCCAACTTTATAGGTTTTTCCTTTGTGGCAAAAATGAAAACATTTTAAATGGCCCTTCTGCTCTTGGTTTGCAGTATAAACCTGGCTAAAAACTGTCAGCAGTGACAATACCATAGATTGAAATTTGAGCTGTCTTAAAATCTCTGCCACCAGATAAATTACTTTGCCACCCTTAATCTTAGTCTCCTGCAAAGTCTTAGAACATGAACAAAATATAAACACACGGACATGGCAAGAGGGTGGGGATTTAGGTCTAACCAATAACATTGTGCCAGTGGCCTCCAAAATGCTCATTCCAAACTCATTACACAAAATGTATTTAGTCCATCTCTAAGTGTTGCCAAACTTTTACTTATAGTTCTAGCATTACTGAAAAGTCCACCCTATAGTCTCCTCTGTAACTCAAAGTAAATGTATAATCATGAGCCCAGGTGAAAATAAAAAACAGTTAAATACTTCCAGTATACAATGGCAGAGTAAACATTCCCATTTCAGAAGAAAGCAATAAGTGAATAGAAGGGAATTGGATCAAAGCAATACTGAAACTCAGAAGGGCAAATTGTAAATCCAGTAGCTTTCTGTCCAGCATGCAGGGCAGATTTTAGTGAGATATGAACTCCAAAGGGGATTTAGGCAGCTCTGTTCCTACTAGCCTTACTAGCTGCAGCCCACGTGCCCTCTCTCGGATTGGCTCCATTCACTAGCTGTGGCTTCCTTCAGCAGATGTTCCAACTTCCTAGCTTATCCACAGATCCCTCTACTCTCAGAGCTGCAAGCTTCACCATTTCAGGGGGTCCTAGCAGGGACTGTGACCCTTTTACACATTTTTGCCTGGTCTCCCAGGCCTTATTTTGATGTTTTACTCAATCACAAGAGATTATAGAGAATTGCCACCACTCAGAGCCAAATTTGAGTCCTTTATTGCCAGTGTGGCAATTTGAGCGTGTCTCGAGCTTGAACACTCTACATGAGGAAAAGTGGCTTGCAGGGTTCTTTTAATCAGCTCTTTTAGTTGGGGAGGGCTCAGGGAGATGGGGAGACCAAGTGAAATTTTACAGAAGCAGAACTTTGCTAGGTTAGTGAAGAGTCAGGGGAAGTTTCACACAGTTTAGTTGAAACAAAATATCACACAGGTGCGGAGTATTCTGTTTACAAGGTCATAAAGATAACATATAGCTGCAGACTGCTCTACCAAATGGGGAGGTCATAAAGATAACATATAGCTGCAGATTGCTCTATCAAACAGGATTCTCCAGTCTGTCATGCATTAACTGAGGGGATTCCCAAAGGGGAAAGGGGGAGAGGACCACCCAGAATCACTTGACTTTACATAAATGGAGTCAGGTTGGCTATCACACTGAAACATGGGTGGAAGCCTCTATGATATTATAACTTGCATTGTGTATGCTTGAAAAATAAGAAGCACATGGACGATGCCAAAGTTTCACACCAGCTCAAGCAGCAGTCTGCCCCTTTGGACCACGCTGCAATGGCCTCTGAGTGCTTGCATGCTTGAGCTTGGGGAAACACTTCCCTAGTGGCCCTGAATAAGCAGGGCATCTCTTCTGGAAGAAAGTCTCTCAAAGGAGTTTACTCTTTTACACCCTTGAGCCTGGGATGGATGGGGTCTGACCATTTCGTTACATGTCTTCAAGTTATCATTGATTGTACTGATGCAAAGTGCATGGCTTCTTTTTAATGCTAATCTTTTCAGCTACAATAATCTCTTTTGCCCTAACTTTGCAGTCTCTTCCTTTCTGGAAAAACTGCAAACTTCGTATCTTTCAGATTTAGTGTTTGCTCTTGATTCTCACTGTAGATTTTTATAAAAGCAGCCAACAGTACCCATGTTGTAGTTTGAATGTTGGGCTGCTGTGAAATTTCCTCTGGTAGATTAATTAGTCCTTTACATTCAGTCTCACACAAAGACTTAGGGGATGGTCAAAACAAAGAGAAATTCTTCGATGGAACGTAACATGCATGGCCTCTAGTTCAGTTTTCAACAGAGTCCTCACTCCCAACTGAAATTTTGTGAGGCTGGCCTTTACTGTCAACATTCTTATCATCATTCTGGCTTTCTGAGCTGTGGCCAGAATCACCCCTCAAGATCTACTTACCACAATCTAGTTATTCTCTAGCCTGATTTTCCTAAACTCTCCTGCAACAAGTTCTAAAGGCTACTAAAGCACATGATCAAGTAGTAATAGCAACAGTCTCACTCCAATATTATGTATTAGCCACTTTCCTGTTGCTGGGACAAAATGCTCAAAACCCAGAACCTAAAGGAAGAGAGATTTATTTAGCTTATGGTTTCTAGTTGGTTCAGTCCATGGATGACTGACCCCAAGGCAGAAATGGCATAGTGGAAGGGCATGACCAAGGAAAGCTGCTCAACTGATGACCACTGGGAAACAGAGATGGAAAGGAGGAGCTGGAGATAAGAATGAGTTCTTCAAGGTCTATACCTAGTGAGCTGCCCCTTTAATCAGGCCTTACCTCTGAACATGAGACTTTTGGCGATGTTTTAGATCTAAATTTAAACAGCCACCTGGGTCTTTGTCTCAGGCATTCTGTTCATTACTGCAGCACCAGGTCCCACCTTAGATTGGCTAGATTTACATCTAGGTAAATTTTTTAGATGATATTGTGGTTTTAATTTTACAGTTGAGTTTTAGAATGTAGACATGCAATCGATGTTTTGTACATTTATCTTCTATCTGGCTACCTTGCTGAACCCACTTGTCAGTTCTGTTTTGTTGTAAGCCACTGGGAAAGGAAGGATGAGAAGACCCAGGAGATCAGACTTCTCAAACTTGGAATCTGCTGCTGAGGCAGCTGGCTGGGAACAGGTACCAAGGATGCTACACCCTGAGAATTTCCTTTAAGTGTTGAATAAGATATTTTGAGTGGGGCTGGGGATTTAGCTCAGTGGTTCCGCTGCCTACCTCGCAAGCGCAAGGACCCGAGTTTGATCCCTGGTACAAAAAAAAAAAAAGATATTTTGAGTGATTGGTCTTCATTTAACCCCTTAGTAAATGAGATTTTGGAGTATTTGTGCTGACTCTTGCCAACCACTGGTGTTGTAGAAGAGTTTCTTTTTCCTTGCATCTTTGTCAGCATTTACTGTGTTTTATACTCTTCATGACAGCCAACTCTGACTAGGTTGAGATGGAATCTCAAAGTAGTTTGTTTTGTTTTCTGTTTGATTTTTTGAGACAGAGTCTCTCTATGTAGCTCAGGCTGGGCTTGAACTCACTATGTATTATGGGCTGGCCTCAAACTCCCAGTGATCCTCCTGCCTCAGGCTCCCAACTGTTGGGATTACAGGCATGTGCCGTCATGCCTGGCTCTCAGTGTAGTTTTGATTTGTGTCTTAGTCGCTTCCTTGAGGTTGAAACACAATACCTGACACTCACAAGTTAAAGGAGGAAAGGTTTATTTTGGCTTATAGTTTGTAGAGGTTTCAGTCTATAGTTGGCTGGTTGCAAGGCAGGACAGCACGACAGAGGGACATGGCAGAGGAGAAATGGTCTGTGGCATAGCAGTGGGGAAGCAGGGAGAGATGAAGGGAGGAGGAAAGGAGACTGCTCCTTCCATCCTACACCCTTAGTGATCCACCACTTCCCACCTCCCAACATCATACTCAGCTGTAAACTTATCATGGACTAATCCATTGATGAGTACCATGCCCCCATAATCCAATCACCTCCCTAAATCCCTACCTGAGTTCATGAAGCTTTCAGGGACAGCTAGATAGAAATCATAACAATTTGCATTTCCATAATGGCTAAAGATGTTAAGCATTTTTTTTCATATACTTATTGGCCTCTTGTAGTTTTCTTTTGAGAAATATCTTCTCAATTCATTTGCTCATTTATTGATAGGAGGGGCTATTGATTTGGGGGGGTTAAGTTTATTGAGTTCTTTATGTATTCTAGAGATCAGTCCTCTGGCAGAAGAGTAGCTGGCAAAGATTTTCTCCCATTCTGTAGGTTGTCTCTTCACTCTTTGTTTCCTTTGCTGGGCAAAAAATTTTTAAATTTGATGTAGTCCCATTTGTTGATTCTTACTATTATTTTCTGAGCTATTGGAGTCTTATTTAGGAAGTCTTTGCCTATACCTGCGGTTTCAAGTGTTTTCCCTATATTTTCTTTAACAATTTCAGAGTTTCAGGTCTTTGATCCATTTGGATCTGATTTTTGTGCAGGGTGAAACAGAGATCTAATTTCAGTCTTCTACACATGGATATCCAATTTTTCTGGCACCATTTGTTTAAGAGGCTGACTTCTCCACTGCATGTTTTTGGGTCCTTTATCAAGAATCAGATGGCTGTAGTTGTGTAGGTATGATTTTGTGTTTTCTATTCCATTCCGTTGACATATGTGGCTATTTTTGTGCCATGACCATACTGTTTTTGTTACTATGGCTTTGTAGCATAATTTGAAATTGAGTGTTGTGATGCCTGCAGGCTTAGTCTTTTGCTTGGGATTTCTTTGATTATTCTTGGTCTTTTGTATTTCTATATGAATTTAGGATTTTTTTTAGTTCTGTGAAGAATGTCATTAGAATTTTGGTGGGTTTTGATTGAACCTCTAGATTGCTCTTGATAGTATGGCCACCTTAACAATAATAATTCTGCTGAACCATGGAAAAGAGAGGTCTTTCCATCTTGTAGTGTCTTCTTTGATGTCCTCTTTTTCTTTTCTTTTTTCTTCAGTGCTCAGTAATTTTCATTTTAGAGTTCTTTAACCACCCTGGTTAGGTTGATTACTAGGTGTTTTAATGTTTCTTGAAGCTATTGAATTGTTTTTCTTATTTCTTTTTCAGCTAGTTCATTATTGTGTATAGAAAAGCTGTTGACTATTTAACATTGATTTTTGTGCCCCACCCTTTTCTCTTTGTTGGGGGTTGATAGGTAAGTCCACGCCCTGACACTGTCTGACACCAGGGGAGATGTTGTCCTTCTGGCCAAGACTATTGCAGTATCTTTCCAATTGGTTTATCGGACTCTGTGCCCCCTATCTGTCCTTCGAATGACCCTATAAAAATACAAGACACACCCTGACTCTGTCAAAACCTTTCAGGGTCTTTCCATTGCACTCAGAATAAAAGCTAAAGTCCTCATGCTGCCCACATTCCACCACAGTTGATCCTGGCCAGTCTTTGACTGGTCTTCCCCAGCACCATCAGCTCCAGGTACTCCACATTTTCATCTGGTCCTGGCCCATGCCAGCACCCTCTCCCCACTCCAGGCCTGTCCTGTATGTTCCTCCCTCCTGCCCTCCTCTGTGAACTGACTTATTCATGGATCATTTCTCCCACTGTCTTCTATTCTATGTTCTAATGTTACCTTGGTGAGGCTGACTTGAACCATTCCATTTAAAATACAAACACTTCCTCTCCATAGTCACTGGCTAACCTTTTCCATTTGCTTTTTCCCCATTGTACATATGACCTTTAAAATAATGTGTAATTATATGAATCAGCATCCAATCCAGAGATAGAACACAGTGGACTAAATGGGTAAGTTTATATAACGAACAATGAAAAATACTAGTGTAAAGGGAATAGTTGTGGTTTGCTGGGAAAAAAGTCAAGGAAGAAATAAATTGAGGTGTTTCCTTCTACAAGTCTGGGTTCAGACCCGGTGAGAGAAGCTATGGTCTTACTCAGGAATATTGAGGAATTTTGTGGGTTTCCCAGGGTCAAGCTGGTCATGGCCAGAGCAGAGGTGGGTAGGTAGGGAAAGGCAGGCTGGACCAGGCAGCAGGAAACTTTTCTTTCTTCCCACAGACAGATGTGCTGTGGCTAAGAAGCCTGCAAGATACCCTGGGAATCCCCTTTGGTGGTCCCACTGAATGTCCATAGAAGCTATCCATGGGGCCTCCTGAGTCCTGTATTACAAGCGTCCCAGATGTTCCCTACTTGTGCCATTGCATTTCAGATGGCAGGAGGAAGAAAAGAAAGAACTGAAAGCATCCTGGAACTGAGAAGGAAGGTTCATCTTCCAAAACCTTTACTAATAAGCTTAGATTTTGCCAGATATAAAAGAGAAATGCCTACTGAGTGCAGTAGTATTATCAGTGAGCAGGCAAAAAGGTGTGTCTGGGGCTGGAGACAAGAAATTCATCACAGACACCATCATTCACTCATCTGTTTTGTTTATTTTTGACCCTCACCCAAGGACAGCAGTGCATTTGATGCATTCCTTATACCTAGAAGAATACTTGTTGTATAGAAAATGTGTAAAAACCACCAAGCACATGAATAAATTTGTTTTATCCCTTTAAAGCTGCACGTATTATGTCATCTCACGGACATATAAAGTTTTGTTGATCTATTGTTATTTTGATGAATTTTTGAGGTATTTCCAAGATTTGTAGGGAAAGCAAACTTATCATCAGACACATCTACTTGTGCATACATGGGACCGTCCCTGTTGGTAGAATGCTTCTGAGTAGAGTTCCTAAGTCATAGACTACATGGATTTAAAACAAAAACAAAAACAAAACAAACAAACAAACAAAAATATATATTTATGCTCATTGTAACTTTTAAGTTAATCTTTTTATTTAAGATATTTGTAGATTCACATGCTGTATAAGAAATAATACAGAAATCACACGTCCTCTTTTCTCCATTTGCCCAAATGATCTTTCAAATCTGTAAACAATATCAGACTAGAAAATTGGCATTGATGTTACCAAGATACAAATCATTAACTTGGATTCCTCTTGTACCCTTCGAAGCCACGCCTCATTCCTTCCCACCACACCTACACTTCTGGAAAGTGCTGGTTTGCACTCCTTTAATGTAATGTGGTCCTTTAAGAATGTTGTAAAAAAGGTTTAATATAGTACATCAAATTGTGGATTTCACTTTTTTCCCTTATAGTATAATTCTCTGGAGATTACTCTGGATCATTATGTTCATTAATAGTGTATATCTTTTCACTGCTGAGTAGTGTTGCTTTATCTGGATGGACCACTCTTTGTTAACTGTTCACCTGTTGAAGCACATGGTGTGTGTAGTGACATCTTTGAGGTTTTTATTGCATTCCACTAATGACTAATGATGCTGAACATATTTTCCTGTTCTTGATATCTGTATATCCTCTTGGTGATTAATATGCCCTTTATGGCTTTTGTCCATTTTCTAATTGCCTTTTGTTGTTTGCTTTGTGTTCTTTGTGGTTTTGGGGATCCGACCAGGACCTGGTGCATTCCAGACCAGTGGTGAGCCACTGAGGTATAGCCTCACCCCAGCCATTTTCAAACTGTTTTTTAACTATTGTGGTACAGAAGGACGTGTAAAGACTAGAAACTAGTGCTGTATTAGATAAGCAGCTGGCACATCTTTTCTCTCATTCTTGAGCTTGCTTATCATTCACATAAGAGGATCTCTTACAGAGAAAAAGGTTTCAACTTTGATGACAATGTTGTCAATTTTTCCTTGCATGGATCATGCTTTTAACAGTAAATCTAAAAACTCTTGACATAGCTCCATATTCCACAGATTTTCTGTTAGCTTATTTGTTTTTATAGATTTTAGAGTATTATGTTTTATGGTAAAGCCTGTGATCCCTAAGGTGTATGTTAGTTATCTTTCTGTAATGTGATAAGTATTTGAGATAAATAATTTGTAAGGAGGAAGCATATTTTGGCTCACAGTTTCAGAGGTTTCAGTCTATGCTCACATAATCCTGTGGCAGCAGAGATCATGGCAGGAGCCTATGGTGGAAGAGGTTGCTCGCCTCTTGGCTTCCAAGAAGCAAGGGGAGAGAGCAAGAGGGAGGAAGAGGCTGGGGTCTCCATATTCCCATTCTGGGGTGTGCCCTCAGTGACTTTACTTACCTTTCGCTTACCTGCTAAAGGTTCAGCCCATCTTTCAATAGTGCCAGAAGCTGGGGACCAAACCTTCAACATACTCCCCTTTGGGGCACACTTAAGATTTGAACCATGACTAGGCTTGAGGCTTAGGTTATAGGTCCTTGTAGTTCTTCTGTCTCTATGGATATATATAATCTCTCAACATCGTTTGTTGGAAAGGCTGTTTTTCCTTCACTGAATTGTTTTTGCATCTTTGTAAAAAGCCACCTGGGCCACTTTGTGTAGGTCTGTTTCAGGGCTCGCAAATCTGTCTGTCCTCTTGTTCTATGAATCTGTCCATCTGTCATTATCACAAATATCAATTACTGCAGAAATATAAGGATTGAAATTGGGTAGCCTCATTGACCCACTTAATTTATTCAAAAATTTTTTAGAAATTCTAGCTCCTTTGATTTTTTCGTATGAATTTTAAAATTATCTTGCCTACATCTACAAAAATTCCTTTGGGGAATTTGATAGAAATCGTTTTAAATTTTTCATTGTTTGGGAGAAACATCTTTATTATATCAAATCTTTGAATCCATAAATACAGTATGTATCCACATTTATTTACTCTTTTATTTTATCAACATTGTGTAATTTTCAGCATACATTTCTTTTTTTTTTCTAGTACCTGGGGTCGAATTCAGGACCTTGCGCTTGCCAGGCAGGCGCAGTGCCACTGAGCTACAACCCCCAGCATACATTTCTGCACATGATCTCTTAGATTTGCATCTAGATATCTAATTTTTAATGATTCTAACTGATGTTTTTCATTTTAGTGAAATACTTGAACATGTGTTCCACTTATGCCAAACTTGCAGCGGTAGCTGTATTTTTCATCATGTTAATAGTTTTTTCTCTCATTTATTCTTTGAATAAAAAGACTTAAATTATTAAATCAGTTTGGGACATTATTAAATGTATTTTGCAGCATTGGTTTATATTAATATAAGAGCAAGTATAGCATTGTGTAGCGGGAAGCCTATGGCTTAAGAAGGAAGTCCAAGCTCAGAGCTACAGTGTGTCACCCCATTCACTTTGAGCACTGCAGTTTTCCCTACTCTTTATTTTCCTGCTGCGACAGTTTGCTAACATTTTAGAAATTCCTCTGTGCCCAACAGTTTCACATCCCATAAACATCCTGTAAAATATTCTCAAATTTTAAAATGGAAAATGTTCCACTGTGTAGTTATTTAAATTTAGAACTTGCAGATCACCTACTCAGAAGTCTAGAAATTCTAGAAGCTAGAAATTCTAGCTCCTTTGATTTTTCATATGAATTTTAAAATAATCTTTAAAGTCTCCGGGGTTCTTCATTCCTGTCTCAGTTGATATAAATTCTCCAAGAATGCCCTAGAGATAGAGAACTTATTTACAGTGGTTTGTACTAACTGATGAAAGCACCTGTGATTGTTTTTCCTTTTTTGCTCAAGGATATTGGGGATTTCCTTTTACATTCCAAGGTGGAGTTTTTCCCAGTGGAGAGAAGAGGTCTCTTGAATGTTATCGCAAGAATCTAAGCATATACATAACCTGTAACTCCTGCACATATCACAACTATTTCTTTGAATTGTATAAGGAAGATGAGCCAACTTCTTATTTTGGAATATCTTTGGAAAGACAACTAGTGGGCAAGTTTATGACCCAAAGGAATCATCAGTTATGGTCTTGATTCCTGGTAGGAAAAAACAGTGTTATTTCCTTATTACGAGGCAAATAGAAATGCTTATTTTATTTCTTATAGTTTACAAAGCTAGAATAATTTTTTTCTTTTGATTATGGACCTAAAATTTGCTCATTGGAGTTTTGTGCATGAAATCAGAGTTACTTTTTATAGAGAATAAGTGCTGTAAAGGTTTATTAAACCTTTACAGAGAATAAGTCCCTAAAATGTTTAATTCCTTAAGTAATGATATTGGCAGTAAGTCTTTGAAAGGCTGAGAACCCAAGTAGTGGTACCATTGCACTTGGTGCTTCTGTAGGAGTGAGGGTGGTAGCTCATTGTTGAGAGTTGCATGCTGCAGCCTAATGGTCAGCAATGAAATAAATATTTCTAGAATGTTAAAAACTCAGAAGAGGCAGGTCACTATCAGCCCCTCCCTTGAGGATGTGCTTCCTGGCTGCCATGATGTAAGCAGTTTCTCCTCCTCCAGGCTCCTCTGCCATGCTGTTTTTTTTTCGGAGCTGGCTGACCGTGGACTGAAACCTCTACAAAACATGAACCAGAATAAATCTCTTCTCCTTTAAGTTGTGGGAGTTGGGTAATGCGTCTCAGTGACAAGAAAAGTGATGAAGACATGAGCCCTCCCAGAAATAGAGTGGAAACATAGTCCATTGTTTCATTGGGAAGGCTGAGCACAGACTGTACATCTAACTAGTTACTACTCCCATTAACTGAACGTAGTAATTTACTGCACATGTGGGTTTCAGCAGTGTATACCAGAGGGAACACAAGAAAAATTTTTGAGATGGAAGGCTATGAATCTGTCAGTGTGCCAGGAACTGTCTATGACAGTTGTAGGTGGGCTGAGATGGTCAGTCAGTAGCTCTTTCTATCTCAGTCCACTCTTACTGACCTACCCATGCTGTAACTTGAGTTTGTTCTATAACTGAGGCTTCAGTGTGGTGAGGGCGACAACCAAAAAACAATTTAAATAGATGATTAGTGGAATGGGCTGCAGCTCCCACTGTGAAGATGACCTCTAAGCTTTATTCATATTCATCTTAAGCCTCCTCTTAATACTTGATGCACCTCAATCCCAAGTAGCAAGTGCTTTGGCTTGGTGCTTGTTATGGTTTAGATCAAGAATGCTCCCCCGCAAATCCTCATGCTCTCATAGGCAGGGCTTTTGGAAGCTGATTGAATTATGGGTGACATAGCTGACTTGATGTTAGAAGACAGGGTCTGGAAGAGGTGGGTCACTGGAGTGGTGACCAGGAAGGGCATACTTCCTTCCCTGGCTACTTCCGACCTCGTTCTTCTTTCTCTGTCCCCTCCCCAGTGTCTCTTGCTTTTCTGATCTGTACCATGGTGATTCAAGGTGTGTGTGTGTGTGTGTGTGTGTGTGTGTGTGTGTGTGTGTGATTGCCCTTCCCAGTGGACCTAGTAAGGCAGAGAGGAAACGGCCCATAAGGGAGAGGTGGGCAGGGGTCTCCAGGATCACAGAGCCTTCATTTCTAAGCTGACCTATGGAAGGGCTGAGCCTGGCACTGGACACTGCAATCCTCCCTTCTACTCCGAACTCTGCCAATGCTGTAGGTGCTGGTCAGTTCCGCCCTCTGTCTTGCTCCAGTTTCCTGATTGTCTCAGAGAGGACTGACCATGAGACTCAGAGCCCTCACTTCCAATCCCTCCCTCATGCCTGATGCTGGGACAGCACGAACCTCCCTCTCATGAGTAGATGTGGAGGACATTCTCAGTGTGGCTGGGCTTCATGTCCACTGTCTGATGCACAAATGCAGCCTGCCAGGACCCGAGACAGTATATATGTGACCCCTGGCCTCTAGCACGTCTCACGCCATGGGGTCAGCATGGCCAGCCTCATGTCCTCTGTCCCTGCACCAGCACTCAAGCCACTCAGCCCTGAGTACCCATGCTCAGCCATGCCTGGGGGACTTGGAATCATTGCTCTTCACTCACCCAGTGACAGCCAGGAGCCTAGTCCTGTGTTGGGATCTCACCCAGGGGCCTCCTGAGTCCGGGCCTCCTGAGTCCAGCCCTCCTGGGCACCTTCATCTCCCTGCTTTATTCCTCAGCACACTCTCTCAAGGTGCAGTGGCGGATCCATTCCCAATCATGAAAGCAGAGCTGAGAGGTCATCCCTGAGCCCAACTCTCACAGAGCCATGTCATGGCCCAGAGGTGGGCTTGAACCCAGGTCAGTGGACCCCAAGATTGTTTCCCACAGAACTGAGGGATGGTCCCTGAACTTGGCCTTGGACCTGAGTCCATCATGGCTGGGGGCTCCAGGACGGTTCTAGGCCTGGGGGGGAGCCATGCTAGGCTGAGGAAAACTCTAGGGGCTGGGTTGGGGCAGGGTGACCTCTGAGGAGGGTTCCTAGACAGATTCCACAGAGCTCTGATTGCAGGCAGAGAGTGGGCTGGAGGAAGGAACCCCAACCCCGAGGTCCTCTTAGAGGCACAGCATCCTAGAGCTGGTGGGAATGAGTGAGGACATCAATATAACCCAGCATGGAGACGCTGGGGATGGGGCTGTCTCGGTGTCCTTCTATGCACTCGGTGCTATGTGGTAGCCGCATCCCCTCGGTTACTGGACAAATAGCCCAGACTGTGCAGCCTGGGAGGTGCATCCAAGGGTGCTCATCACACAGACTGCTGAGGAGTTTTGCACTCCTCTGTATGGATTTGCTACTTTGGGTACAAGTTTTCCTTGAAAATTCATAATAAACGCACTTTTCTATAATATGTTGAATTTTTGGCAGAAGAGGTACTGAGGATCAAATCTAGGGCAAGCGTCTGCCATGGAGCTACACCCTCAATCGTGAAGAAAATATTGTAAGTTAATAACTTTAGTGATGTCAAGAGAGACAGAGACAGCGGTGGAGGAAGAAGGTTCTGTACAGAACGAACCAGCAAATTGATGCCGGGAGAAAGACAGAATTAGAATTTGCTGTTTTACAGTTCCACAAATGACATTTAATCAGGCAAAGATTAGACAGGGGTGATGGTTCAATGTCTATTGCTGAAAATGCAGCAGTTTAAACAGCTCCATGATTCTTGCACACCGCTCTACCCGTGGAAGGGCTCAATGGCTTCCCTGTGTCTCTGCTGCACAATTTTGGTTGAGACAATGACTCTGGCTGGAGGATCCAGGAAGACTTCCACCTGGGGTCTGACACCTCGAGATGGGGTTGGGGCCTCTGGGGGTGGGCAGCCCCTCTTCCTCCTGTTCCATCTCCACGTGGTCTCCTGTGCTTTTCCCCAGCATGGCGGTTAGGCTTCTGTATGAGACAGGTCATAACTTCCAACAGAGTGAAAGCAGTTTATAGCCTCTTAAGATCTAGGAAAGGAGTGGACACATGTCACTTCTGCCACTTCTGTTGGTCAGTGCAAGCCACAGACCATTATGGGGCATGGGATAAGGAAGTAGACCCTGATTTGATGTCAGAAATTGCCTCTATGTCCATGGAAGGGAGAAATTCCTGGCCATCATCTCTGCAAATTATTTGTTGAAATCTACCCTCTGGTCACAAAAATTCAGATCTTTACCTGTACAAAATATGCTCATTCCCTCCCAATTCTTCTTTTGCCATTACTATATGGGCCAAAAATTTGGAAGCTTGTAGTCTGCCTAAGATCCAGATGTGGATGAATGTCCTCAGATACTTTCTTTCTCTGGACACCTGAGAACCAAAGACAAAACCATGAACAGACACACCATGCAACAACACACTAACAATCAAAACACAGCCCCAGCTTACACCTACCACCAACTGCCTTGCACTGCCAATCAACACAACCTTCGCCATCTCTGGTGCCTAGAGCTATGGGGAAATAGAAATCACGGCAAGTTTTTAGTTGGATGGCTATTGCTATATACCTCCAAGTGCTAAAGTGATAAAAGGATAAATTCTTCATTGCCAAAGTGATGACAGGTGTGGAACTGAGAGGACCTCTGCTATGCAATGAATCTTGAGTTGCTAGAAAATTCTTATCTTGGAACCTGACCTCCAAGGTGATGGTGTTAGGAGGTAAGAGACTAGGAAGTGCTCTAAAGAGAGCACAGATGGCCTTAGGGTGCAGAAAGAAGCAGGGCAGCAAGGTGATGGTGTTTCCTAGAATATGAAGGTGGTTGCTCTGAGGTGGTGAACTAAATTGATCTTGAGCCATAAAATAGTGTCCCCACTACTGGAAGTTCTAGGATTGGGGCACCCCAGGCAGGCAAAGGGGAATGAGGGTGGATTCCTAGGGCAGGGAGAGCTTGGACTCTGGGGAACAGGTGGACAGTCTGAAGTTCAGTTCAGGAGCTTAGTCCCTTCCTCAACAGTGAGGTTCAGGAGGGAGGGAGGGGCAGCTACCCAGAGAACTGACCTGTGGGCAGCTAGAGGGCAGGGTGGAGAGCAAGCATGAGGAAGCCAAGACCTCCCTTCCTGGCTGGCACACAGACTTGTTCCCAACCCTGAAAGTGACCTGTACATCTCCCCAGGGCAGGCTGGTCTGTGAACAGCACCCTTGTGTGCACAAAAATTGGATGGCATTGCATGTCTTCTCATCTCTGGGTGGACCTAAATTTTGATTAATCCGATCCCAACAATAACAACATTTCACCTTTCTGATCTATGTGTAATTGGCTGCAGCAGGGAGGAGGGAGGACTGTGGTCCTTGTCAAGTGCTCATAGGCCACCAGAAATTAAAAACATAAAGGCCATCCTGTGAAGAGTTGCTGCAGCCCATCCACATGACTCAGCTCATCCAGACACTGCCTAGGCTGTGAGCAGAGTCTGGAGATGAAGACCCTGGCTTGTACCATCTTGCTTTTCAGTCTGGTGGCTTCCCTGCAGGCCCAGGATGCTGAACCAGAGGGGCACAATGTGAGGTTGGGCAGGAGTGGTGGGTGGGGTATAAGAAAGGCCAGGACTGCTGGGGAGCAGACAGCAGCCGGGGGCCCTTTTATGAGGGGGCATTTAAGGCTGGGTTCTGACTCCACACTCTTAGCTTAGAGTGATCAGACATGGTGGGGATCTATGCTGCCAGCAGACATGGCTACTCCAGTGTGGGCAGGGCCAGAACAGGGAGCAGGTGTGGGTCAGGGATCTTGTTGCAGTGGCACCCAGATCCAGAAGGCTCTGCAGGGCCGGGTCCCAAGGGGGTGAGGAAACACCTGGGCCTGGTACCTTGTCCTCAAGGAGAACACATCCCCAGGGAGGGAGGACGTGCTCTGCCTTCATGGGAGCTGGGAGCCCTGAATGCTGGGGTTATTCTCCTGAGCACAGGGGTGGAGGTGGAGCCCTGCCTGCCTCTGGGAGCTGCAGCCTGGGTTATAGGAGTTTCTAGGTTATGGGCTGGCACGTGGGCTGGGTTGCAGTGGGCTCATGGCTCAACCTGCTCCAGATGGAAGGGACTTGGTACCTGAAGGCCATGGTAACCAGTAAGAAGATGCCAGAGACCATGAAGCCCAAGAAGTCGTACCCCGTGACTATGACAGCACTGGATAATGGGAACTATGAAGTTCAGCTTTCCTTCTTGTGAGTATTGCCCACCTCGGGCCCCTTAAGTCTCTTCTGCCCCCAACCACATTTTGAGCGAAGGTGGCAAAATGTCCCCTGATCTTCGGGGGCACAGTCTCAGGCAGCATACTAAAACTTTGATGGAGTGGAGTGGATGTTTGGGTGTCACCTGGTTGGGACCAATGAACGTGGGGAGTTGGGCCTGGCTCGGGTTTGACCAGGGGAACAGCTGCCCACGAGCCTCCTGTTTTCCAGCTATAAGGATAAATGCGAAGAGAAGACAATTGAGATGCAGAGAACCAAGGATCCTAAAAAATTCAAAACCAGTGAGTCCAGCCCAACTGTGCCCGGGCTCAGCCTGCAGTGATAGCCTGGGGAGGGTGGGGCTCTTTTGCGGCCCACCTCGCTGGAGGAGCTGCCCTTGGGCTTCCTGGAGGACTCGTGGCTCTTAGTCCACACACCAGGTATTACTGGCTTATCTACAGAGCAGGCCGAGCCCTCCCCCTCCCCCGGGGGGTCCTGCTGCGGACACACGGGGAAAGTGAGGGCTGAGGATCTGGGGTGCAGGACAGGGCAGCTGCTCAGTCCCTGCCCTCCATTGTCTGTACTCCGAAGCTCAGGATGGCACCTTTCTGGCAGGGCCTCACCACAGGGCTGCCCAGGCTGGCTGGGTCTCCTAGGTGGTCCCTGAAACATTCCAGAACATTCCTTATGGTCTCAAGTTTTTTTTCTAGGAACGAAGACACTAAAGAGCTATTTTCTCTGTTCATCTACAGCACAAAACATAATCGTATCTGTACAGGAGATGTCCGTGAAAGACCACTTCATCTTCTACATTGAGCACCAGGTGTTTGGCATGCCCATACGCATTGCAAAGCTCCTGGGTGAGGAGCCCTTCCTGTATCCTGCCCCAGCTTCCTGTCTCAGCTTTTAAAAGCCTTGTCCTGGCACTGGGGAACTAAGAAGGCTCCTAGGCTGGCTTCTGGGCACTTGGCCCAGCATGCTGTTCTGGTAGAGAGTGAGTTCCGGACTGGGAAGGGGGTCGGCAAGGCAGGGAGTGTCAGGGACATGCAGGCCCTCAAACACTGACCATGCTGACAGGGGGACCTGCTCACTGCAGCTGCCGAGCACTGCTTCCTGGGGTCTCTGGCACGGACAGGGTCACCTTGGCACCTTGTCCATTCTCAGAGTGAAGCCCCTGGTGTGGGGTGGTAGCCATGTCCTCAGGGCCATCAGCTCCCTGCAGAGCTGAGCAGCCGCCCCCCCTCTACTCCCTGGCCCTCCTTCACAGCGAGGACCCCAGAGGAAAATCCAGAGGCCCTGGGGGAATTTAAGAAGTTCATGAAGCGCAAGAAACTCAATGTGGAGTACCTTGTCATCCCCCAGCAGAGCGGTGAGCACAGGGCCCTCCCTGCATCCTTACCAGTGCTCCCTCTTCACCCTCCAGTGTCCCCCTGGGTCCCTCACACCTTCCCTGTCCCTCCCAGGGACACAAGGGCTCTGGTTTGGGTCTTGATCATGGGAGAGTAGATGGGAGGACTGTGGGTGAGATGGGGTCTGGGCCCTCTTCGGGGTACCTTCTCACTCCTTGGCTTTTCTTGGTTCCCACAGACAAATGTGTGTCCTAGTGTGACTTGGGTAAGTGACTCTTTTGGAGAACACTGGAAAGGTCTAGAGTCCTGGGTTCTTGGGATTCGAGGACCCATTGTCTCCAGTCCCACTCCTACCCAAAATGGCAAGAGCAACCCTGCCTGGACCAAGCAGTAATGGTCGCCCCAGGAGCTGGCCTGGAATGTAAATCCCAGGACCTTTGGGAAATCCTTTCTTAAGCACCGTTGCTCACCTTGTCCTATTGTTGTTCCCCTTTCCCACTTCCCGGTCTCCCCACCCACCGCCCCACCCCACCTACCCACTAGGATTCCCAGAGGCTGGCTGATCATAGAGAGGCCAGGATCATTCTGGACAGCTTCCCGGGGGCCCGCCCAGCAGCCTGGGGATGGAAGAACCCTGGCCTGGCATCTCCCCTTCCTGCGGGTCCTCCCTCAGCTTCTCTTCCCATCACAGCTGCCAACCCGTTCTGCACATGCTGAGCCCCTGCTGCTGCCAACACAGAGGTGACTGCCAATGGACCATCCCTCCTTCAGCATCCTCCTGCCCCTCCTGCCCCCCCATCCCTCCCCTGACTCTGTCTAATTCCAAATAAAGAACTTTAGCAATCACTCTGGGCTCAGCCTGTGCATGAGGGGGCCTTTTGCTGGCTCTCTAAGAGCTCTGCTAGCAGGGGGAGCCACAGGGAAGGCGGGAGACCTTATACTTGGCAGTGGCCAGAGGTCAACACACAAATGCTGCATAGAGCTGCAAGGCACGTGATGTCCTTGAGGTCCCCCTGATGAGCCATCCCCCCAGGTGGATTTGCATGAGGCTGGGGCCTGGGTAGGAGGATTTGGGAAGCCACTAGAGAGGGCAAGTAGGGCAGACATCTGCACCAGGGCTGAAGATTGGGCACAAAAGGGACTCTGTGGGGTCCTATAAGGTCCCCACACTGAGCAGCTGGGGAAGGCAAGGGCAGGTGAGTATTGCCGGCAGCTTCCTTGTCACCTCTCATGCAAGAGAGCTGGCTGCAGCCACGGCAGCCATTGCTTCCGTCCTGGTTCTGGGTGTGGTTTGTCTAGGGACCAGAGGATGTGGTGACATTGCCTACAGGGGGACGAGGGGAACAGTGAGGGGAGAGAAGCCATGCATCCCGGAAATACAGACAGCCCCAGAAACCACAAATCCCACCCGCGCCGCCTGCCTTCACCAGAATGAGCCTACATTGTGTCCCTCTTTGGCCTAGGGGCCCTGGTTTCTCAGTCACATGACCTCGAGCCGACTCCCACCTAGACTTGCTGTCCTGTCCTGTCTGGAGCTGGTTATGGGTGGGGGCTGCTGGTTCATCCTGAATTGGAGCCTGAAGCAGCCTGGACCCACTGGAGGTTCCACTCTTCAGCAACAGCGGACACAGTCATCTCCCCATTTTCCAGCCCCTGAGTAAATTAATTAGCAAAGGGTCAGGTGCCTCCAGATGAAAATATGAAAAAATAGGTAAAAATATGTTACTGATCTCACAGTGGAAAATGACGTTCAAAACATCTAAAAAATAAGAAAAATATCTCCACTGAAAAGCTAGAGATTTGACCAAAAGAAGAATAAAATATAGGTGTAGAAATCATTTGTTCAGCAAAGAGGTTTCCTAGGAGTAGCACTTAGATTGTTTACCTGGAGTCCATTGTTAAATTTAATTTTATCGGCTTTGTAGCTGATTATCAACATCTCAAGATATTAGATCAGATCTCTTTGTTAGAGTTGTACTCCATTAAGAGACATGAGTTAACAATGTTTTAAAAGAAAAATATAAAAGAAAGCCGGCCAGATTTAGTTTATGTAACAGTTTAGAATCAAGAAACAGTTTTTTCTTATATCAATTTTTTTTTTTGTACTGGGGATTGAACTCGGGATCTCATGTTTGTGAGGTAGGCGCCAGAACCACTGAGCTAAATCCTCGGCCCTGTTATATCAATTTTTACCAAAGGCAATCAAAGAAATAGCCAATTTGTCTGTAGTGCTTGGTGGAGTCTTTTTAAAAATCAATTTTATTATCAATATTCTAAAGAATCAGAACTGTGGATGACAAAATACTTAGAAGAGCCATGGCTAGAACGTTGAGGAGTTTAGCAATTGACCAGATAATTTAGTTTTTAAATTTTATATGGCACTTTAAGATGGCAGTCACAGGTTATGCAGTTTCTCAGAGCTGCTTCTCCTCCCTGACACCTGTACCAGCTCAGCCTCAGACTTGAGATTGAGCTCAGGGAGGCCTGGCACTTTACCATCTCCACCTTTTTGGCGGTGTTTACTCCTAGCACTGGCATGATGCTAAGCCTATCCCAGCATCCCCTCACTCTGTAGTTGCTTGGCACAGGATTGGGCTTGAGTTCAGCCTCTGCTGCTACTGCTGTGTGTGTGGGGGTACCCTATGGTCATTGTGATCTTACACAAATATTTAAAAAATCTTATTATTCACTAACAAACAACGGTATTTTCCCTGGATCTTGGGAGTTGAGGTGGGACACGGGGACTCTGAGGAAAACTGAAAATTCCACCTGTTGTGGAGAAAACTGAAGCAAATGGGTTTAGGCAGCTGCTTTTTCAGCCATAGATGGGGCTTTCTCTGGCAGTCCCCAGGCCCAAGATCAACTATTATAAACACAGTTTACCAGGCAGACAGACAAGACACAAAAGACAATTCCATTAAAAACGGTGTGTTTCTCCTAAGGCAGAGAAGCTGAGCCGGTCCCAGCACCTGGAAGGAAGCTCCCCCACCGCCATCCCAAGCTCCTAGGGCAGAGAAGGTGAGCCACGCGGGCGCCAGAAGCACTGCCCCCTCCCCGTGGAAATGAGAAGACACATAAACAAGCCTCAAAAACAGACTTCTGGATCACCTACAGCAACCCCAAAAGGAAACGAGATGGAACAATCTGATACTCAACCACCTGGACTCTCTGAACTGGCAACAAAAGAGGATGTGGGAAAAATGAAATCAGAAATAATTA